AGGCAGATCGACGAAGTACACTGCTGAGGGGAGCAGCGGGCGGGCCAGGAGAGGTCTGCCGCGCCATGTGGTCACCTCCGGGGCCGGGGGTTGAACTCGCGCTGAGGTGGCCGCAGCCAGCTTTGCAGTGCTGCGCTCCAACCCATGCACCACTAGGGAGGACCAATAACATTTTTTAACAAGTGCTTATCAAGCTGTACAAAAATAAATAAATAAAGCCTATTAGAGATTTGTTTCTTTCACCCTTTAGGATGGCTTCTATCAATAAAGTGGAAAATAGCAAGTGTGGGTGAGGATGTGGAGAGGTTAGAATCTTTGTACACTGCTGGTCCTCTCTGGTGGTGCAACGGGTTAAGTCTCAGCACTCTGAAGCTACTGGCAGCCAGTGGAGCATGAGCTCGATTCCTAGCCAGGCTGCTGACCCACAGCAGGGCACAGGAGACCTCTCCTCTCTCCCCTCAGCAGTGGAGTTTAGTCGATCTGCCTGTTCTGCTCCCCACTCTGTCTCTGATCAATCCTCTTGCTGCCCCTGCACCTCTGGCCTGGACCCTATTTCTGTATGCATAAATAAATAAAATCTTTTAAAAAAGGAAATTATTTGATACCTGATACAACACAGATGAAGCTTGAGATACTATGCAAGTGAAATAAGCCAGTCACAGAAAGACAAAGACTACACTTACCTTCCATATATCTGATTCCATCAGCCCTCTTTCTTTACAAAATCTCCCATAATGCATATGTAATTCATAATTCACATGAAAGCTCCAGATTTCATAGGATTTATACATAATGATAGAGTGAAAGCAAGTTTTATATTTACTGTAATCCTAAACAAACAAAAACCCACCTTCGATTGGTATCTTTTTCTTCTCATTCCAAGTGGGGTTTTGTTTGCTCACAGGACACTTCAAGGCTGTCACTTTGAAACAATTTCCATAAAAATCAGTGCTCCTGGGCTGAATTATTTCCTGGCTTGGCTTCTCACTGGTTCCTGATAATTCTCTCTGTTGGTCTTTGCTAAGGCTCTGATTTGCACTGTGGGAGCTGAAAAAAAAAAAAAAAAAGGTACTCTGATTTCAGTGTCCAAGTGAACTATCTAATCAAAGTAAAGTGATGCCAGCGTGTTGCCTACCTCACGCACGCACAGTCTTCCCACAGACACAGTCTTACTTGGGCCCTCCCGTCCCGTGACTGAGAAGGATGGCCACCTCTCCCGGCTTACATCACAGGGGAGATGCAAAGAGGATGCTGGAGAATCAGGGAGGGTAAGTACTTACTCAAGAGTTCGTCTCCTAACTCTAGTACTCTCTTGATTATTTTATCTAACCTTGATGTATCATTTGGTTTCTTTCCACAGATGTGAAAAAAATATTTAAATCTTAAACAAGAATTAAATCTTGTTTTAAATTCATCAAGTCTAGATCAAAGTGCAGATATGCCCCAAATGGTTTCTTTACCTAATTTTCTAGATTTGGGGGACAGGAGACTCTAAATATTCCCACACAACCTGCTCCTTTTATTGAGCAGAAAGTAAGTTCTTAGAAGAGAGTCTGGTGTGCAAATCCAGTCTACTCTCAAATGCTGGCCTAACCACTGTTTAGATGGTTGTTCACAACATTATTCCTAAGAGTGGGAAAATGTGTCAAGAGACGAGTGATATCAAAATTACTGGTCTAGACAAAGCTGTGAATTCATCTATGTTATCCCTGACTTCCCTTTTTATTCCTTTTTCAATTTTTGTCCCTGTATTATCAATACTCCAACTGCTAGTACAGACCATATAACACCCGACAGTCATTAATTTTAAAGTGCTAAAGCAATGGCCGATGTATAGAAGTAAATGTTTGACTAAGATTTTAAGGCATCTCCTGGGGATAGTTTGAAGATGTCAGAGTCCTTCCACACACATCATATAAGCCTAACTATGTACAAAGCTGAGGTAGTCACGGACACAGAGAATATGAGACACCGGAATCGCATTTGTTACCAAAAAGTTGTTATAATCTAAAACTAAGATCTTACAGAGACATAGGAAAAGGAACAAAGAAGTTAGGTAGAAGAAATCGAGTGTAGTTGTGTAGTTTTCTTACCTCAAATATCTTTTTAAAAGCCAAGAGGGAGTTTGTCTAGGCATTTTCACTGAAACAAAACAAGAACATTCTGTGACATTCCTGAACTAGATTTTAGATGCCCAAAGCCTAGTTTTGGACAATTATCATACTCATATTTAATGGCGTGCCTGAGTTTACCATCAATTAATCTGCCATTGTCTCAGCCAGGCATATGAAACAAATTAGTATACATACTTCCTGGAAGTCTTTAAGTTACACTGTTTCAATAGAATAGCAAACAGGGGAAACACCTGTCCAGCAACTGTCTAACCATCAGAACTGAATAGGTGCATGTGAGACTTTCTGAGGGACACCTACTCATCTGTGAGGGCGCAGAGTATGGTCCTGCAGGTGAAAAAAACGTATACTCTGCAGCAAACACAGATGCACATGTATGATTATTTTAACATAAAGAGAATGTAGGTATTTATTTCCAGTTATTGTTATTTGCATTTGTTATGTAAAGGCTATTAAGAAAACAATAGGACTAATTAACAGTGGCCGTTAGTGGTGATTAATGGAATGAATTAGATATTCTGTGTGAGAATAACAACAATGTGTTTGTAACGTTTTTCAGGGGGCTACCCTGTTTTACATTCCCATCAACAGATAGATGAGGGTTCTGACTTCTCCACAGGCTTGCCAAGACTTACTGTATCTTTTTTTTTAAATAGATTAAATTTTTTTTCAGTTTTTTAAAATTATTTTTATTTTTTAAATTATTACAAAAGTTTATTTTTACATCATTTTGCATATTTTTTTTTCCATCTCGATTGTCATCCCCGCGGGTTTCCCATCACCCAATCACCCGTGTGCCACCACCATAGTCCCGTGCATTTCCCTCCCCCTCCCCCGTTTTTGATCCCATTCCCCACTCCACCCCCACAGAATGTCTCTGGTATATGGTTGTTCTTTATTTTTTGTTATTTTCCACCTGGTCCATTATACTCCTGCTATGAGTGAAACCATCTGGTATTTTTCTTTCTCTTTCTGGCTTATCTCACTAAGCATGATCTTTTCCAGCTCCATCCAAGTTGCTGCAAAAGACATGTGTTTCTCTTTTTTGGTTGCTGAGTAATATTCCATTGTATATAGATACCACATCTTTTTATCCAGTCATCTACTTTTGGGCTAAATAGATTAAATTTTTAAATTTTCTTACACTGTTGTTCATTTCTGTACATTATTTGATTTCTCCCCTCGGTGTGGTCCCTGTAATCTCCCAGCAC